TTTTTTGTTTTTTTTTTTTTTTTTGTCCCACTAGATTTTTATCAAACAAGGTTTTAACAAGAAAGATATTTTGTAATGTGTCATTCAAGGGAGAGTGTTGTAAATAGTAAGTTATTGGTGAATGACAATTGTATCCCAGCAGCCCTAGATATTATTACCATATGTATCCCCATTCATTCCCTATAAATATAGAGCTTTGGTTCTCATTATAATACACACAAGTCTATTGACTTTTTTAATTCTCTTCTCTTTTCATAATAGTATAACATTTGATGAAATAAAGTAAGAGATAAATGATGATCCTTGCTGCTACAAAAATGATTTCCCCTTTTCTCTGGATGTCAACAATGACAGTAGACATTTAAGTATACAATATTGACTATTGAGAAATATGTCGGTATTAATCTGTTTGTTAAAAAATAAAAAAATATAATTAACGATCATATATACTCTTCCTACCTGTAGAAGATGGTCAAGTGACTGTCAACGGGTTATGGGTGTCGCGAGAGAAAGAAAGCGAGCTCAAGGACTTGAAAGTACACAGCACTAGCATGATTCAAAACTTCAGGGCCACCGCACGGTCTTTTGGGCACAGAGGATACCCTCCTTATCCCTTCTATGAGTCATACGGATCTCCCAATGTGGACTCCTCACGGATCGAGTATTTCTGCCTTATCACGAGTTATTGCCCAGCCACCGGGCCTTAACGTGCAATCCATCTCAGCAACAATTACTGCAGGCTGCTTGCACCTGGAAAGGAGAAGTGTGAGGAAACATCTTTGAGGACAGAAACCGAAAGCATGCATCAAATAACGTGCAAGAAAGATCCACATTATACAAAATATGGGCAATGCTTTTATCCTCCCATGTATCAATATATAATGATGGATGTTGTGCTGAAATAATGAAAATGAGTATATAAAGAATAATGATTTAGCAAAAAGTATTGCATAAGAAAGATATCTAATTTCCAAAAAGATAGATATCTGAAATTGATACAATAGTTATATTGACTTCCCGAATTTCCATCAGAGAGACAATAAGAAGTCTGATGCTAGCACGATTTAATTCTTAATTTCCTTTTTCATTGACATTGCCTGAGTGGATTTGAATAATTTCGCATCTGGAACGTGTATGGAAACCACATTCACCACCCACACTTCTTGTTCAGAAAGCGCAGCAGTGAATCTATGAAATTACTACAGAATTTAGAACTCTATATGCCTTTTGGCTCTCAAATCGTCTGTTTATAATTGTCAGAAGTTGTAGAACTATGAAATATTCATGCAAGTAGCGTCTTAGAGTAGTATCTCTATTAACCAGGATACTGGTTCAGCAATATCATCAAAACTTTCCCTTTGAGAGGTAACAGAAAATTTTGAAAACACAGATCAAGCAAATGTTGGAAAAAATTGAGTTAGTTGGTGACTTTGGCACGAATTTTGAGTGGGACCCGTTTGGCTATTTTGGAAGATGAAAGTTGATTTGTGTTCTCCTCCATGAGTACATTGAAATCATATACTTATCAAAAATGATGATCGGGTGAATGAGAAATTAAAGCTCAAAGTATGTCACGTGAAAAGAGTTTATGTTGGTGGGAAAACTAAAACTGCTTTATAAAGGATTGCACTTTAGAATTGTGTAATCATGTGTAGCATAGAGGCTCTCTCCACGTGCGCGCGCAGAGAGGTGCAAATCACGGACCGAAATAGGCATCAAACCTTGAACTTGTGTGCGGAAGCGACCTGCGTACACGAATGTCGGACCAGATTGACCAAAAATTGGCCCCTTAGAAGAGCCTACATTTTGCTACATTTTATTTTATTTTTTCCACTGACTTTCATTTTTTGAAACAATTGAAACTCCTAAAACTCCTGTTGTAATTACCATGAAGTAAGTGGGCAAGTTACAAGATCCAAAATCTATATATTCCTCAATTTTCCCAGTTTTCAGTACAAGAATTCATCTGCATACAGTTCAAGTTTTGTCTTTGTTTCGTTTCTGTTTAAGTCTGGTGGTAATATTGTTTGAGCTCTAGCTCAGTTTGCCAGAGTAAAGTCTGTGGTGTTCAAATTCTACTGTTNTCAGATTCTACTGTTCCACCGTTGTATCCTGAGAAGCAGACGCTCAATTTACACCTCAAGCACGTACAGTGAGGGAGCGAATCTGTTTTAAGGAAACTGTGTGTAACACAGGTCTTTAGTTAAAAGTTCATTTTTTTTTTACTTTATATTATTGTTTTGTTTTGTTGTAATTCTATTTCTAAAATCAATAATTCAGATTAACAAATTCGGCGTTGGTCTGTATTAGTTCACTAGTTATCATATTTTCCAATAGCAAATACAAAAACACAAGCTCAATTTTACAGTTGCTGTCAACTTTAGGCGGAACCCATAAGACTGTACCAGCGTTTTACTTGACGACCAAATCTTTTTATAGCCATTTCTCTATACTTTCAAATCATCCAAAATATGGGATTCCAATACATCAACTTTTAGGCTATGTTTGATATGCCACATTTTTTTTGGAAGTTGGAAAATAAATTCCTTTTCCTTGCATTTGAGTTGTTTGATTAGCCACATTTTCCCACCCATTTGTTTTCCTTGTAGCTGCCTTACGCACTGGAATTCCTTGAATTGTGGGAATTCATTTTCCCATCAAAAAGGTGGAAAAATGAATTCCATGTGGCTGCTGTGTCTTTTTTTTTTCTTCCTTTTTTAGTAATGGAAACAAATTTCATAATCAAGTGTAAAAAAAATTTCACTTTCATTGATAATTTTGATGCAAACGAAGGCCAAACGAACACTAAATTTTGATTAAAAAAATGATTTTTTAGAAAACATTTTTTTTTTTCGTTTTTTTTTTTTTACTTTGTGGCAATGAAAACAAATTTTATAACCAAGTATGGAAAAAACTATCACTTTAATGGACAATTTTGATGCAAACGAACACAAAATTTAAAAATTTTCCGACTAAAAAATTTTACCAATCAAACACACTTAATTAACAATTCCCTGGAAAACAATTTCTAGGAAATTACCTTCCCTAGAATTCATTTTATTTCCACTCATTTTTCTTCCTTGCAATCAAACGGACCCTTGGTGAAATCTAGCTGGAAAATCTATGAGCAGTAAAACAATAGGAGTAACAATAGATGGTGAAGTTTTAACAGTGAAGATTAGAAGGGAGATCCAGAAGTGGAATTAAGAACTGTGAAAGAGTTCATTTGGCGAAATCATCTTCTGATTTATTCAGATTAAGAAATATTGAAGCAAGATAACCCCCGAAAAAGAAGTGAAATCTCCAAGAACCGCAATTTTCTCAAAATAAAAAGTTTACTTTCAAGGTATAATATCCCTCTTTCAATGTGCTATTTCGCGTCCACAGAGTAATTCACGACTCTGTTTTGTTGATGGAAATTGATGTCAACAGGTGACACTCTCTGCTACATTTCATATAGTGCACAATATATGTTTCTCCAAAATATTATAAATTCTGAAACAAAATGTACACTTATTGAATTACAGCAGTTGCATATCAATTAACTAAACCTAAATTTTCGCTTTATTACCATTCCAAGTGTACTGCTGACCGAATAATACTATGAAGTCTCTTTACAAGCTCCCTTTAGAAACTGTATGTGGCTATTGTCCAGTAGTCATGGTAACTGACTGAACAAGGGGAGGACCTGAATCTACTGAGGCAGGCTGTATAGAAGACAATTGTATGGAGTTCGACTCAGGAGCTTTCTCTTGAGCAGCATTCATGTTTATCTTTATCCTGCACAATAGAAACATTCAGTTATACTTTTCTGTCTACTTCACTGATTTTATTGGTTGTAAATCTATGTATAGGATGTCAATTCCACCTTCGTCAATTAACTTCTTATAGATAAAGGAGAGTCTGAAAGTTTAACATTTTGCAGAAAGCAGAGAATTTTTTCAAGTTGTGTTGAAAAAAAAAACTATTGCGCTTTGCAGGGATTTGTACATTGATGGAAATTTTAAGTTTCAAAAGAAAGAAGGATTATTTTTACCTGTTATGTATGTTGACATATTCATCCGTTTCATCGAGTATCTCCTCCTGAAAAATTAATAATATTCGAGAACAGAAAAAGTAAGCAACAAAGGAAAATAATGAAATAACTAAGGGTAATGATCAGAAACTACACAGAAGCTTTAACAGTTGAAGGGACTAGAATAATAGAACTACCTACACTTGGAAACTAATAGTTTGCAATTTTTTAAAAAACGAAGCAGGAGCACCCTTGTATTGGCCTCGGAGATAGTGACAGCCAGTACATTAAAAAAACCGTGTGATTATCTATCAATTGCACTAAGAATAAAAAGGGGGGTGGGGAGGGGAAGGAACAGCTGCTTAATATCAATTGGTCGAGCCCAAATTTGAGTACCTGAAGAAGCTCCTCAATGACATCCTCCATAGTAATTACACCGACAACTTCTTGATTGGGTGGGTGCTCAGGAATTGGAGAATTCTCTAAATCTAAAATGCAAAATGAGCAACCCCTATGTTTCTTTTTGAAAGCAGTAGATGGAGGACTTTTCTTTGTCACTTGATCTGCAACAGCCTTACTTGAGGTTGCGTCCGCATCATGTGAGATGGATTTTTTCGCTAGGTTGTCAATGTCTGCAAATAGGACCCGCCTTATCATCTTCCATTAATCACAAAGCACAAGTTTTAAGTATTTATGTAGGTATTAAGAAATCAAACCAAGCAAGGGAAGACAGGTAAATTGAAATAAATAAAGGAGGTTCACATATAAAATAAATGATGCAGAACTGATGTATGGGTGAAAAAATGAAGGAAAACAAAACTAAAATGGCATATAAGATACTCAAGCACAGATCAGTGCAGTGGACAGTTCAGAAAGAACAAGTTATGTAAGCAACTTAAATAACTTAATCACATCGATAAATACTATACAACGAAAAGACAAGAAAGAAGAGAGAAAGTGACATGGAGATAGAAACCCAAAATAAAGAAAGAAAGAATCAAAGAACTGAGAGGTATAAAAAATAACAAATAACCAGTAAAGCCATTAGTAACAACTGTGTCTATTCTCAATGTTTACACCTTCTTTGGTTTTCTGCGTCGTTTCTTTTGTTTCATTCAGATCCTTATACACAACAGCAATGTGACTGTGACCTTTCTGAAATTCATTCAGAATATCATAAAGAGGCATGTTTTCTGAAACCCTGAAAATTGTACAAGATATGCAAAAGAATTAGCTACTACGGGGAGGGGAGGGAGGATGAACATAACCCAACCACTCCTAAAGAGAGGGTATAGTCCATAATGACCCAAAATACAATATTGGAAGAAGATGCTTTATCCAAGTACATACAAGCAGAATCATAAAACTACTATCAATCTGTCATATTTGGAAATAAAATTCTTGAAAGCAACCATTTTGGCCCCAAAGAAGTCAAAGTTAATCACAGTTGTGTTTGTATAAGGTGATGGGAACAGAAATTCACGTTAATCCTTACCAGGGTATTTTTCTTATTAACATTTTCCTCAGAGGAACTGTATGTTCAGGGTCAACTGCCAAGAGATTTTTAACCTGCACAAAATAGATATATAAATAATTGGTTTAAACTGGAATTGGATAGTAGCACAGTGCACTCATTATTTTCTAAGTGTAACTGTATGCAAAACAGATATCGGTAACTTTTGAAGACAGATATGCTCGATTTAAAACAAGTGATACCAAGAATGCCAATATTGTGATTCTGAACAGGAAGAACATAAATTACCAGTATAATTCCAATAATGTTATTCGGATTTTTATAATAAACGGGAACTCTACTATGGCCCATTGTCATTATAGCATTCAGTGTTTCCCTGTACAAGGGTCACAGAGAAATTAAGTATATAAACGACATACATAGAACAAAATGACTAGATTCAACAGCAAGTGATAAACGCACAAATTAAGAGTTCCATCCAGATCAATGGAAAATGCCTTTAATATAGGGGTCATGGCATCTTTAGCAGTCTTCTCAGTCAATTCGAGTGCCCCAGCAATTATTGTTGTCTCATCATGCGTCAAATCCCCACCTTTCCCGGCCTATCAACAGAATAAGAAACAAACCATGTTACACGTGAAAGAAGAGTGAAATCATGATCAATCTTCTGAAGAAACAATCACTATGCGGAAGGACCGCCAATTATAACTTCCGCAAATAAATCGGTAAGTTAAAATGGAGAGAAATTGAAGAATCCCAAGAATCGATCTTGTACCTCATTACCATGAAAATCCACAAATGTTTTCAGCTCAGCTCTACGCAAAAGGGCTGCATGTCCCTTACCCAGCATCCAATCCAGAACCTAGAACGAAAACATCCTAAAAGCTTTAGAACTCGTGTAATATTGCTCTACATATTTTATAACCAGATTATAGCATGTTTGGTAAATGTTTATAAATAATTAAATTATAAATAGATAGAAATTTTTGAAATGCTTGGATAAAATGTAGCTTGAGTATTAATAAAAAGTTTTATAAACATGAGCCTAAAATAGGATAATCATAATGTTTTTTTCAACCTTCTGTCAATGTCCTAACAGAGAAAATAACTGACTAACACAACTTTTTAACTGATAAAAAAAATTTGCCTTGCTGAATATATAAAAAATCACATGAACATCAGATGTACCTTACTAATTGGATAAGCAATGGGGAAAAATGCCCAAAGTAGAAGCTGGACAAAGGGTGCCACAGTTGCTCCAACAGTTAATCCATACCGAGTACAGATTGCTTGAGGCAATATCTGTAATATGTAATGATGCAAGCAATTAAACAACTAGATAAGCAAGATTCAAACCAAACATTGTATAGTTTATTTAAAGATAAAGCACCTCCCCGAACATGAGGATGAGTGTGACTGATAACAAGACTGCTGCCCATGGAGGCACGAGCTTATCCAAGAATATGGGAAGAGACTACAAGTAAAACCATAACCATTTCCACACAGATTTAGATCATCATGCATTAACATAAGATACAAATATTGTCAAGTTAAGGATGTTCTGCAAACCTCCATAGCTAAGGCGTTGCCGATCAAGAGTGTACATAGCAAAAGATGTTGATTCTTCACCACTGGAAGTATTTTAGCTGCCACGCATGCACAAACGCCTATCAAATATTAGTTATCAACACAAAAACATATGCAGACAATACACATCCTAGTTACCCTGATGCAAGCTAAAACTAATTAGGTCAAAGATGATTAAGGGTGCCGGAAAATTTCAAGAATTGCAACAAGACGGGGTGATATCAAAAGATTCTGTGATTTGGTATTGGGAAATAATCTCTCTATATTTACATCCTAAAACTCGAACTTTTTCTCCTCCCGAATTCATCAGTTCTTACATATAAATGCAGTAACTCAATGGCAACATTTCAAGAACCCAACAAGCAATAATATTGCTCAGAATCTTCATAAGCACCAATAATCATCAAGGACAACCCACAAACACAATTATAGACACCAAATGAATGCCAAGTGAATAATAAAAAGGAAATTTTACAGAAAACCCGAATGATCAAATTCACAAACTTAGCTTCCAAATAATCAAAACTTCGAAAAATCTATAGACACATATAGATGCATAAATAATAAACATGTACATAAAAGTGAAAACCGAGGAATTGTACAATACAGGCATGAATACGATCCTGGGTGCGCCCTGATTTGCTGAGAACCTCGAGGTCGACAAGGCCAAGGGACATGAGCCCAAGAGTAAGACCAGCCATGAGCCCAGCAAAGGTCACCAGTCCTGTGATAATCAACACATACAGAATAAACTTGGTTTCACAACAGGGCACGTCGGCCATCTCCCTCACGAAGCGTGTGTTTTTTGTACAAGGACTTTCTTAATGATTTATGCGGCTGATTTTGTCTGTGCTTTGCTTAATGATTTATTTCATACTTTCAGTGTTGGAGTCCAATTTGGAAAGAACCCAAATGGAATCGACCACACTACGATTTTATACTTTAGAATAAAGCTGTCTACAAACATAGTTAACAATATTGGTTCACGCTTATTCGTTTTCAAAATTCAAGTATGTGACGAAGAAAACATTTTTTTAAATGGATGAACATAATGATATCAAGTAGGATATCGACAAACATTGTATACAAACACCGTTCATTGTTTTTGCCGGCAAATTGTCAACCACCCATTTGTCTCCCATTATTCCATGTTATAACGAGAGAAATAGTAATTTTTTTTTGAAGAATGTATAATTAAAAAAAATTGAATTTATGTGTAATATTTTTTTTATTGAAAAATGTATAGTTAATAAGAAGTGAGAGATAAATGAATTATAATTTAACGAGAAACAACGGGTCAAACAGGGCATATTGTAGGTGGGCTGAGTTGATTTTGCCAGTACAGTAATTGTACGCTTTGACTTTTTTTTTTTTTTTGAATCACGAATTATATTCAAAGAAAGGCGCATAAAGCGGATACACGGAGAAAAACCTCCAACACACACTCTCAAAAGAGAGATAAAAGTGTTTCCACGGCCCAGACGACACCACAAGAAACAGACCCAAACCAAAGCATACAAACTTTACACGACCCCTAAACAAACTGAGACATCGAAGTCGAATACATCAGTGGCTTTACCGAGGCTTGAACACCCCAACAAAGTCGACTACGTGGACATCATCAAGCACCCCCGCTCGCAAGGAAACGGACATTGTCTAGACTTCAATAATGCCAAAGACAACACACACCAAAACGACAAAAACAAATTACAACCCAAACAACAAAACATAAAACACAAAACAGAAAAAACAGAAAACATCCCACACACACCACCAAACAAGACCCAAGCAGCACCGGCACACCACCACCGCCAACCCACGGCCACACTGGCAAACCAGCCCAAAGACCAGCCATGCCGCCCCTGTCAACCCCAATCACCGAAGAGACAACGTCCAAGGGCCGCGCCAGTCAAACCCTCAAACACCCCTCTCGCTGACGAGGCTAACACAGCCACCACCACCGCCAGAGGAAGCCGACCGCACCTCCAACCCACCAGAACAACCCAACAGAAAAAGCAAAAACACCGAACAAATAACACCACCAACAAACAGTCCCCAACCCAACGAAACAAACCACCTAACAGATTTGACTTAATGTTTAGTTTGAAATATGCTACATTAGATTTTCAAACATCAAATGTAAATGTTGACTTTATATTCCATGTATTTAATTAGAATAATGTGCATCTATTTCATGTAAACTATGCATAGTGGTGTACAAGTCTTTCACTGTATACCATGAATGAATCAGGCTGGATCATATCTCTGGTAAATTCTCAAATCACTTTTAATTCATATATTTTGTGAAAGTTCAAAAATATTAATAACTTATCGATCTCTTATTTTTATTTATTTATAATTTAAATAGTGCATAAACAACCCCCGATCATGAGATCGAAAATCATTTAGTGCCATTTGGCTAATTTATAAATACTTTATAAAGATAATTAGCTATAAGAATAGTAGTAAGTCTAACGGATTGTATTAATAATGAATAATTATTATTTGTCTATGTTTGAACGATATTTTTGGTAGAATAGACTTTGTAACAGCGATTTTTTATTTTATTTTTTGGAGAATTGGGATAATGTATGACTGAAAATGAGTTTAAGTAAAAATGATTTTTTTAGAAAATGGAGCTAAAATTGATATCGATATATATATATATAGATATATTATTTTTATTATTATTTTTTCCCTTCTGTAATGAGAATGAATTTTGCTACTTGTCCTCTCACAATAGGGGGGCTACGATTTTTTAATGGATGTGGGCCCCCTATTGGAACTTGAAGAATGTCCAAATGAGAATGAATTTTGCTACTTGTCCCCTCACAACGGGGGGCTACGATTTGGATGTGGGCCCCCTATTGTGAGGGGCTATACACCGAGTGTCAATCCCGGTGTTCAAGTGGCAAAATCCAAATAGAGTGTGGATGATGGGCTGGAATATGCTGGGAGTAGAACCCACCTGTGCAATTGGGCTTAAGAGATGCTGAAACTTGAAAGGGAAATAAAAGCAACGACCAAACTTGTGCTGCAAATAATGTCAATCTTTCGCATACTGCTGCAAGTTGTGGTTTGAATGAAGTACTCTTATTCCACATTCAAGGCTCCATGCAATACAACAGAAATTGTATTTATTTATTTGTTTATTTTGGGTTATTTGACAACCAAGAATTTTTTTATTTTTTTCTCAGTCCTCACTAGTTTTCCCATTACTACCACAATATTTTTCAATTGGATTCACATTGTTGGGGTCGACATCTAGTTAATGGATATGGACTTCTTGCAAAGTCTAAAAGGCATGCGTTAGAAGAAACGACTATTTTCCTTCTAAAATGACCTCAGTGAAAAGGTGAATTGATTATCTTTTTGAAAAACTTTGTGTGACGTATATAACTCTTAACTTTGTCAAAAATTTTAAAGATTCACATTTTTCAGCGAGTTGATCAACTTGTGTACCCAGATAGGCTTTTGTACCTAATACTAGTAATAAGAACATAAAAGTCTGACTTTAGGTGTATCACCACATTGCCAAGTACAAAATTTTCTTTCTAGAGCTTTGAATTTTTGTACGATGTCTACGACAGTATACCCTTGTTTGGTTGGGATTAAAATCTAATTTTAGTCAAAGTCAAACAATCAATATTAACCACATCTTTTATGGGTCCCACAATTTTTCAACCACACATTTCAAAAACTTCTATCACAATCTACTAAAAATCTAATTTTAATCTCCACCAAACACCCTCTATATGTTGCATTTCAATGTGTTTGATATTTGCATATACCCTTGTTTGGTTGGGATTAAAATCTAATTTTAGTCAAAGTCAAACAATCAATATTAACCACATCTTTTATGGGTCCTACAACTTTTCAACCACACATTTCAAAAACTTTTATTACAATCTACTAAAAATCTAATTTTAATCTCCACCAAACACCATCGGGTTTAAAAGTAAAGGCGTGTTATAAGTTAAAAATTAATTTCACAAAGTAATATATTAACATTAACTCAAATGGAAAAATAGTAAAGATCTTAAAGCATTCTCTTTCTTAATTTAGACTGAGCAAATAATATCTTAAGATATATTTTTTTCATTATATGATATTTTTTAAGCTCTGTTTGTTTTACATTAAAATCAAATTTTAATTTTAAAAAAATCAAACAATCAATATTAACCACATCTTTCATGTATCCCCATAACTTTTCAACAACACATTTTAAAAACTTTTATTATAATCTGTTAAAAATTTAATTTTAATCTTACCAAACACACACTTAATGTATTAGTAGATTTTGGTATTGCAGCGTTATACAATATGCTAAATGGATATATACAATTCAGTAGGTTATATCTATTTAGCAAATTTATAAATGATTTATAAATAAGTATAATAGTTCGGGATCTCATAAAATGCGTGGATAATAATGAGTAATAGTTATGAACGTGTTGTTGTTTGACTTTGAGGCTAAAGTCAGTCCGGTAGTTGGCACTTGGTAGCTTCCGTGAATCATTCAAAAGCCTAGGGTTCGAATATTTAATGGTTTGATTTTTGAAAGAACTCAAGCCAATCGTGCAAGCTAGTATGGGGGCTTACTTAAAAACCTATGGGTTTATCCGTACTTTGATCAGTACACTTGCTGAATTGTCCAATTAATTCAACCAGCAAAGATTGGTGTCCGATTTGGCAGGTTTCTGGCTGAGCCAGTTTTGAAAGAAAATATTATTTAACACCAGTAATGTTAGAGTACCAATTTATATATTATTATTTGATATTTTCAATTAAATGTAAAATTATGTGATTAAATTAACTGTACTTTTCATTTAATGACGCTTAGCACCACCTAAACTTGTACCATCAGTGACTCTTAACATTATCCTTTTTAAAACTATGGTCCCATGACGAAGATAAGTCCTACCAAAAAAGTATCAACAATTAATCACATATATGTACAACTTCTTTTTTTTTCTCAACCATGGAGAGATGTAGGTACCCAACCCCCCGCGCACAGGGGGAGTTGTCTCGACCATGTGGAAGATGTGCAAAGGCCAAGCAATACTTGGTGTTGAAAAGAGTAGAAACGTCAGCTTAAGTACATTTTAGCCACATCTGTGTGAGGCAAGCAGCATATGATTTGACAACAAGTCATATTTTGTGGGAGCCATTTTAAGCCACTTTATCAACTGGTCAAAAGAGACAGGTTATAGAGGGAAAAAGGGGTTCTAAAACAGGGGATATGAATTGGTGGTAGTCGTGGACTCACTCTTCACCTTTCTCTTCCTATGAAACAAAGCAGGTGGGATATACACATTTGGGGTGCTTTCTCAAACGTTGGTTTTCTGTGTGGCTCTCTTTTCTTATCCCTACCAACAATCCCTGGCCTGGCCCTTTTTTATAATCACAAATATGTATAGCATGAAGGGTTTATCTCTTCATTTCTTCTCTTCGACTAATCACTCAATTTCGAGAAAAAATATGTCGAATCAAGAAAATGGCATGCCTGAAGAAATGAAACCATGGACAGAACTAAAATTACCTGATTTGTTGAGTAGTGATGCCATACGAGAACTTCATGCAGCCATTGAAAGCGAATGGGATTCCTCAAGGCGATCAGCATGCCAGATAGCAGCTGGACGAGCGTTGTGGAAGCACGCGATCCACGATCCACTCGCAGAGCTGTTTGCAGGAGAGACATACATGAGAAGCATCTATGAAAAGATTAAGAAAGATCGGCTTAACAATGCCAGAGAAATTTCGGGAGTGATTGTTGCTGTTCGAACCCTTTGGTTCGATTCAAAGCTTGAGGCAGCTCTCAGTTCCTGTGGCGGTGGAGCAGCACAAGTTGTCCTCCTAGGTGCAGGTGAGTGCCAAGACTCGTAACACTTCACGATAAACAAATAAGATATTTCCTTTTGAATCTGTTTAATTATGTCCATAATAAACAGATTAGCAAATTTGCATAATAAACATGCATAAAGGAGCTTCAAACATGATTGCTTGGCTATTCGCAACCCTTTTTGGCCAATAAGAAGAATCTGCCAACAGTTTTCTACTTTCTCAATACATGGCTCATACAAGCTCAATATACACAAGATAATAAGTTAAAAAGAAAACAATAACTGCATAAATTTACAGCATCAATCAACTGATATGTTCGCAAGATCATGGATTTTAATAAGCTATTCCTGTATACCATAATTTAATTTTGAAGATATTTGCATTTCATTTATACTATACTGTTCTGGCAATATATAATTTGAATTCTGAAGTACAAGCATTGAAAGAGGAACAGGGGATATGAGAACATACTCTATAGGTAGGAATAGGTGCGACACATGAAATCAAACACAATAGGCAGTTGGATTCATTCAACCTTTTGGACCGTAGTCTGCAACCAAAGGCAATTTGTTATTCTAATGTACAATAGTATCATAACGTTTTAGTTGAATTGAGGATTTTATTACTGAACAAAAGGGGGAAAGACCCATGAATATAAGTATAAAAAAACTCTTCGTATTTACCAAAATTGGCAAAGAATCCATCTTTGCAGTGAGAACAGGAGAGAACTATCCACAAAAATTGGTTTTTTGTGCCTCAAAGCCCTGATATTCCTCTCCCTCCAAATTACCCGCAATAACAAACCCTGAGAGTTTTTCATTTCCAGTATCTCGGGAAAATCTATAAAATTTACAATTCATTGACAGATATGTTTTATTTAATTAAGTGTTAAGATCAATGGACATTCTCAACAAGAACCTAAAAGACCAGGAATTTCTAAATGTAGATATATCTGAACTACTACTAGAGCTACCTTATAATGGAAAAACATTTTTTTTATAATGCTTATTCATTTTACATCTTTTTCCCACTTTTAAGCTCTTCCCATACATGCTACTATAGTGTAAAAATTTTCTAGATAGTTTTAATTTTCAAAGAGGAAATGACAAAATTGATACACTTCCTCTCCCCTTCCTACCTTGTATTTAGCGTTTTAGATGTTTGACATATATACCAGCAGATTCGTCCAATTTGACCCCACTGAGCAACTTGTTGCTCCAGTCAACAAATGTCTGGAAAATGATAAGTGCTCAGCGTATTAGACAATCTCTGGCATTTATAAACAAGTGCAATTACAATACTGAAGCAAAAATATTTTTTACCAAATAAAGATGTAGGACAGCTCAAAATGCATATGTTTCAATGACAGAAAAATCTGAACCAAAATTATCTGCTTACCTGCAGGAATGGATACAAGACCATATCGCCTAAGCTGCTTGAAAGAAAGCAGTGTTTTTGAGGTCGATTATGCAGAAGTTTTGCAAGTGAAAACCAATATTCTAGAGGCAGCGGCAAATTCAAAGGATGAACATCAACATCCAATCATGACAGCAAAATCAGTGAGAAGAGTGGCAGCCGACCTGACAGAAGATGACTGGCTTGAAAAGCTTCAAATGTCAGGATTTGAGCCAAAGAGGAATACAGTCTGGGTTTTAGAGGGCATCCTCTATTATCTCTCACATTCTGATGCCATGAAGGTGCTAAAAATTATTGCAGACAAATGCAATCTTACCCGCACGGTGCTCTTAGCAGACTTCATGAACAAGCAAGCAACCACACTATCCAGCTCCGTCTTTAAATTCTACAGTGATTGGCCTGATCATTTACTGCCATCTCTTGGATTTTCCGATGTGAAGCTTTCTCAGATTGGAGATCCAGATGCCCATTTTGGCCTGTTGCAAGATCCACTAAATTTGTTCAACAAGTTGCGCAATTTGCCGAGATCAATTCAAACTCACCCAGATGATGGAACACCGTGCTGTCGCTTGTATTTGTTACAGGCTTCTGGCTCACCCAATCAAACCATTTCATGAGGCAAGGTAGAAATAATTTCTTACATGATATACATATCAAACTACAACTTATGCAATATACATGTAGGCAATATTGCTTGTCACTATTGTTTACAGGTTTAGTAACACAAATTGGCTGGCAACATAACGAACAGCATATAGACTTATCACTCCAAAAGCCCCATGACAATAATAAACTAGTATTGCAAGTACAAAATGTAAGACAACATAAGAAATGCTGAAGAAAAAAGGAACTACATGCCTAACCTTGACAACGTTTATGCACAGTGCCTGCACCCCGGTTGGAAGTCCATGACCTCACTACTCTTTCGCTTGGGAGAAATGCACTCTAAAAAATATATACTTTTTATTTTTATAAATCATGAGGTGTATTAGGACATTTTCATGTTGTGGAGATTCTCCCTTTGCATATCAATTAATTCACAACAAAATTTTCCTGATGGTTCCCCTTTACTGCAATTGACCAAATCTTATAATTTCAACAGTTATACTAAACCAAAAAGGACTATTATACACATAAAGTACACTTGAATGGAACAACTATCAAAATAAAATCTTTCAGTTTGCAATTTGGAAATTCTAGCTTACAGCTAAGTGATCATCCGGTTTGTAACTTTGATATTTTTTCTATAAGATATTCCGAGCTGCACAGCCTTTTCCCGAAATTATTAATTACAGGTCAAGTCCAGTATCTTGCCTTGAAAATCAGAACTTTACAATGTAAAAGGCATCCATATAAAAAAAAAAGTGTTATATAGTTTCAGGGGTGCATCTGCAATCACCGTCATTGCATTTCAGAAAACAACCTCCAGCATTTATATCAAGTATGTAAGGGGTTATATCACTAAAATCACGGAGTTTCACAAGGACAATCGGACAATCACTAAAATCACGGAGTTTCACAAGGACAAGGTAATAAAAATAATGCAAGTTACAACATAGGCACAAAACAATGTCACTTTCATGACCTAGTTACATTAGAAGTGTAAGATGTAGCAGCTTACGAAGTTCTTATTGCGCGACAGCACCAGTGCATCCCTCAGAGAGAGAGAGAGAGAGGACCTGAAAAGGCATGAACTTTATGAATCTCCATTAGCATAAAACATCATTTCATTTTGTGATCAACACCACATTCACAGAAAAATCACATGTAAATGGCAGTCTGCTCACATATATAGGTGAATCTTCGCAATGTGGTGAATCTCTGGCATGAACAAGACACTTGACAAACATTAGCAGACTAAGTCAAAAAAGAGAAACTACATGGGCCTGTTATCTTCAATCCAATACATCAAATGAATTTAATGATGCCAGATTTGACCAACAATTTTAACAAAACTTGATAGAGATCTAGATGGTCAAAAGAACTGAGTTTTAAGTTCTAATTTCTTCTTCATATAATCAAGTCAATTGACGCAGCTTGTAAAATTCGTCCGTGGCATTGTCCAATTATAAAATGTTCCTTGAGTCAGGTTAACTGCAAGATGTGCATTCTACTTTGTCATTAAACCATTTGTACATAGATAATCCTCTGTAAAACATACAGCAAAATTCATTGATATTCCTGCTCTTCTTACTTCTCAAATCTACATCAATTGACACAGAATTTTAGCATATCTAACTACACGCGTGGAAATAATACAATATAAAATCCGCAGTCTAAAAAATTCAATAATTAAGTTAATCACAGGGCGAAACGATGTTACCTCAGCCTCAACTCAACAACTGAATTCCGATCCTCGGCAGTACAATCCCTAGCAGCAAATACTACCAAGTAAGACAAAAGAATCGCCACAATAGTAATAGAACTAAGAGGACGGCAGACTTGGAGCACATTGTGCGAGGTAGCAAATAAAAACAGCACACATTGTTCCCGCTAATGATTTTCACAAAAACAAAAAAAACGCATGGAGATGCGGGGGATCGAACCCCGTGCCTCTCGCATGCAAAGCGAGCGCTCTACCATTTGAGCTACATCCCCACAATGTTTATGATTTAGATTTAATATATATATATACACATATATATTCTATTAAAAGATTAAGTATTCTACCATTTGAGCTACATCCCCGACGCTTAACAACTTGGTTTTATATTTATATAAAAGCTAAAACGCGGGGTTCATTTAGCTCTTCTTCTATCCCCTTCATCGAAAATTATTTTTAACTATATATTTCATAGGACATATAACTTTTATCAAATTTTCAATTATATGTTTCATCAACTTTTATCAATATTTTATTTGGTTTGACACTTGCTTTTCCAAGCCAATGTCCAATTCGATTTTTAAAACGTTGCTCGTAACCATGAGTCATATCATTGGCAATTGATTTACTGCGTTCGTTAATTTTATAGACTTGTTTTTTCAAATGATTCAAGTGCCTAAAGTCACACAAGGCAATCAAATTGGGCTAAATTGGGATTGTTACCTCATGGTCTAACCTTTCACTTTGTGGAGTCGTAGGTCTCAAGTCTTTAAAGCGAATTTTTGGGTTCTCAATTTATTAATATGTGAATATATGTACGTACTCATACAAGATCTTCGATTTGAATGTTAAATTATAAGCAACATTCAAATAATTCACATTTTTATTAATTGAAATTGATTATTATCAGCAATCAAGGACCAAAATTCACATTTTTAAATATGTTCGGGATTCAAAACCCCACTTTTGTAGATTTTGGACTCATAACCACACAACATAAAAGGTTAGAAAGTCCAAAAGTAATTTTATTGTAAAATTGATACAATGAGAATATTAACTGAATATATATATACTTTATTTATTTATTTTAAACCTCGCTAGTGTTCACTGAGCAAATAAGAGTATCACATTGGATGTATTACGTTGCTAAATAGATAATAAAGTGACTGTTAACTGGTCCACCCACACGTTGAGTTTATCTACACCTTGTTTGGTTCACATTATTTTCAAAATACATTTTTTACTCACTTATTTTTAACATCACATTTTTCAATAAAATAATATTCCACGCAAATTTAAAAATTTTCCTTATTTTTTAATTACACATTCTTCGTCAAAATTCTATTCGAATATGCACTCATAAAAAAATGGGACTCAAACATGCTCCTAGTGTTTGGTAAACACATTGGGCTAGTCAAATTTACTTAGAGGAAATTATTTTTAAAATACCACTTTCACAAATTCAAAATCAACTTTAATAATATATAAATCAGGTTTTAATTAATGATTTTTAAATTAATTTTTATTTAAATCAATTTTCAAACCCTAATTTTTCATTCACTCCCCTCTCTCTCTCTCTCTCTCAAAACCGACCCATTTTCTCTCCCCGATCTCTCTATTCTCGCCACCGCCCGCTGACACCACCACCACGACCTCGTCAGCACTACCACCGCCTCTATCTATTATCACATCTTACCCTCTCTGCGCCGCCGGAGACCTGCTATTTCCTCCGCCATTTCCCCCACTTCCCCTTTCTATCGCGATCTGTTATTTCATTTTTTTTTCCGAGTTTGATTTATCGGATGGGTGTGGTGGTTGTATGGCTGATGTTTGCTAATGGTTGTTGTGGTTGATTTATTGGATGGGTTGTATGACTGATGTTTGCTAATGGTCGTTGTTGTTGATTTATCGAATGTGTGTGATGATTTTTCGACTTTGATTTTTGTTGGTGGCTATGGCGATTCTGGTGGCAGTTTTGGTGAGGTTGTAGAGATGGTGTATTGTTAGTGTTGGCGTTGGTGTTGATTTTGTTTCTGGGAAGTGGTGGTGATGGTGGTGTTGGTGTTGGCGAGCAGCGGTGCGTTTTTGTGGTGGTGGTGTTGGCGTGGTGGTGCGTTTTCTGTGGTGTTGGCGGCGGAGACAACGATGGTGTTGTGTTAGTGGTGGTCACAAATGATTACAACAGTGGTGTTGTATTGGTGGTGGTCACAAATGATTTGTTGACTGTGACTAATAAATTGGTTGGTATGTGACCAATAAAAGTAATATGTGATCTATAATTTGATGTTTTGTGAAAAAATAAGTTGTGTGACTCATAAATTTCGTGATTTGTGATCTATGAACAAATTGTGATTTTTAAACTTTTAATTTGTGATCGATGAATTAACTGTGACCTATAAAATTTTTGAATTGTGACCAAATTTTATATATATATGACCTTTATATATTTATTAATAAAATATATAATTAATTAATTAAATCATAAATAAATTTTAATGAAAACCTGATTTTTGAAATTTAAAACATGTATCCTTAATTTTGAAATAGTATTTACTAAAAACCTGATTTATGTATTATTTCTTTTTAACAACCCAAATTAAATTATCCATAGGCCAAAAATTGAAGACTCACTTGCCCTACATATCTTTGTCCCTTACTGACCTAATTAGAATCTCATGGGCCCATCCATAAATTTTTAAACCAATTGAACTTCTCCCAATTCTCCATATTCTGAATCAAAATCGAGGATTTTGATCTTGACTTGTCATTGGTTCTCCTTATTCTCAATTTCTCATCCTTTAGTTCAAGAAAGTTTTTTTTTTTTTTGCTATACAAATGAAGTCAACAGGTAATAATCCATTTTCTTTAATTGCATATAATTCTAATATTCTATGAACCTGTGCACTCTCTCTCTATCTTCGACCGACTGTATATGTGTATTTATAAATTAATTGTAATATCTATATGTAATTGATTACTAGTTTATTATGTTATTTTCTTACTTATGATTTATGAATTTGCCTTTGGTTTACGAGGGATTGGTGATTAGTTTACAATAGTTTTTGATTATTTGATTGTAGACAATTTACTGTCTTTGGTTTATAAATTATGACTTATGATGGAATCATGAATATATTACTATCATTTGTATTATTTATTATGTACATATTTATGTTATCATTTTTATGAATTTATCTTTGCCCTTTGGTTCATTCACTATTTTTAATGCCATGTTTGAGCCATATTATATCTTTCATTCTCATTATTTTACTCATTTTCAACTACATATTTTTC